TCGTTGTTGCCCAGTTTCCCTTGTGGGCATTCTTGATTTAAACTAAACTTTAGAACGAAGAAACTCTGACTGTATCAGGCACGGATACATATGCATGGATTAGGCGTGCTCTCTCGCATCAGAAGTGCCTAAAATTTGATTCATGAAACGTTCAGCATTTCTAGAGGTGAAACGCCCGTTTTTGGACTCGTCGGTTTTCGCCACCTGCTAGCCTGGAGCTCCAGTACTAACTACTGTACCAATGTCGCGTGAGTGGTCAGACCAACAAAATCTTGTACGGAGCAGTTGTGCAAGTCTAGTGCTCTCCGCCTACCAAAATGGTATTGGTAAGCTAAACACGACGGTGGGCGTGAAAACTAGTACTAGCAAGTGACAAGGGCTCCGCCGGAATCGTTGCACCAAACAAACCATACGGGCGGGGGGCGCTGGCCGTCGCCTCGCTGCCAAAAGCAGCGCCCGTGTCGTGGCTTTGACCACGATTGCAGGGGCATGCCGCGCGCCGCCCTCGTCATGATCCTCAGGCCTCAGTTCCTCGTAGGGGGGTACAGTTGGTGACCAAACCACATCCACTGCTGCCGAAATTTTTATTTTTTAGTTTTTTTTAAAAAAAATCACAAATATATCGTGGATGTATGATTTCAAAATCTGAACCCTTAGTTCGGCGCCATCATTGCTGGCGCCGAGTTTACACGTCTCGGCGCTATCGTTGCTGGCGTCGAGCTCTTGGGCTCGACACAGACGTGGCAGTGACTTGGCAGGCAGCTCGGCGCCGAGCTTGGCGCCGTTGTTACTGGCGCCAAGCCTGTCTTACGTATGGGCCATCCTTTCCTTTCTCTCTTGCTCTCACTCTCTCTCGCACCGCCAGCGCCCGCTCGAACAGCACACCGCCGCCGCCACCCGCGCCCGCGCCCTTCCCCGCGCCCTCGGCCGCGGCCGCGGCGGCCACCGCGCCCGCACCGTGCCCGTGCCCGCGCCTCGCCCGCTCCGGACCCTGCGCCCGCGCCGTGCCGCCCACTTACATAGTACACCTATAGCATCTAGGCTTTTCAGTAATAGCGAACGAATCTAGGCTTTTCAGACAATGAAAATGGACTTTTTAGTTATAAGGACGAGGAGTACGATGACAGCAGCGATTTATTACTTCACTTACATAGTACACCTATAGCGTCTAGACTTTTTAGTAACAGCAAACGAATCTAGGTTTTTCAGACAATAAAAATAGACTTTTCAGTTATAAGGACGAGGAGTACGATGACAGCAACGATCTATCACTTCACTTACATAGTACACCTATAACATCTAGGCTTTTCAGTGATTTATCATATCAACAACGAATAGACTTTTCAGGAAACGAATCTAGACTTTTCAGTGTCCATTGAAATAGGCTCTTCAGTGAAACTAATTAGGCTTCTTGTGACCAGTTATAACACATTGAAACGGCAACTAAACCTGCCTCTGCCTATATATACGCAATGCTGGATGCATTGCTACTTAGTTCCTAACTAGTATTTTCTTTCGTTGCACTATCAATGTCTAGAGGGTCATCCAGAGAGAGAGAGGAAAGGGAAGGAACTATCATTGTGTAGGAGGGTTCTCTTGGTCCCGATTTCTTTGAGGAAGCTCTTTATGAGAGGTTCCTAGTTGAGAACAAAAGTGATTTCACCAAAGAGGTACCACTGAGAGGATACGATGAACGGAAAGAAAAGTGGTCAAAATGCATGCATGGTGAGGACTGCTTAGTGCAGATGTTTACTGAGGGAATAGATGAAGGTCGTCGTTTCTTTAAATGCCCGCGAGCATGAGTAATTGCTATTACTATTTGTTTTTTTCAATATGTTTCTCTTCTATACAACTTACATGACATACTTATTGCAGTCTTCCTTAGTCGAAGAAAATTGTGGGCTCACTAGGTGGATCGATCGTCGATCTATTTATCCGCATGCGGAGTACATCTACTACCTGAAGGACCGTATCTTCGATCTAGAAAGAGAAAGCAGCGGTTACAAGGACAACGAACAAGACGACAACCACAATGGTGCCGATTCACAAGAGGCACTCTGCAATGATCCATATTGCACCAGCCCTAACCACAAGAACAAGGGGCTTCCGCCGTTACCCCCGCCACCACCACCACCAACAATAGGAGGCTACTGTGGAGAAGGTGCAACATAATTTGCTATGTGGCCACACTATTAGGACGACCCTATCTTATTCACATGGCACATCCATGTGTTTGTTGTTTGGTTTAATTACCTAAGGCATGTTAAGTTTAGTCGAAGGAACTCTGTACCCTAGTTCGGTACATGTTTTCACATGCCATTTCATTTGTTTTGTGTGTTGAATTATATAATGCCCTACTTCGTTAGGTTGTGTTTGCAGTACGTGATCATATTTCACTACGTCCGCAACATTGTACTGAATATTATGACCATAAATAATGAAAACAACTACATAATGAAAAGTCCAATATTATGTCACATTAAATAATACAATAATACTAGAAGTACGTGTCGACAGTAGACAATATTGTTCATGAATAAACCATAGAACTAGCAAGTCATGGAGACTACTGAGTGCAACGAGGCCACTTTCCCTTTCTTAAGGTATCGGGTTCTCCTCCATCGCTGTTTTCGCTCGGCGTGCACGCTCAAGCTTTTCTCCCTCTCCTCCCTGTACGCAGCAACACGCCTCATTTTCTCCTCTTCCTTGTGCTCCTTTTTTGAAGCCTCCTCTTTGTGTCTCTTCTCCACCATCTCCTTGTCCTCCGTCTCCCACCGCAACAGTTTCTACATCCATTCCTTGTCTTCAGGCTTGATCTCAGTGTCGATCCACTGCTCAAAATCACAGAGCGATGGAGGGGTCTGCAAAAAATGCAATTGTTATAAAATAAAAAAATCATGCAAGATGTCATATGACACAAACATCAATTCATCACCATCTTGTTAATGCGGCGCTGACGAAGTGTAGGCTCAAACACAAAATTGAAACACATACAATACCTCTGCATATACGTGTCCTCCTCATCGGACTTGGCTACCTTGCAAAGATCGCCGCAAAAGCACATGGGGACTGGAATACCATTAGGCAGAGGTAATGGGTCGAAGGCATTTCCAGTTATCTAGCCATAACTACAATTCAACCAATTTCGTTTTAAGAACCGAAAGCAATTAAAATTAAACCCTAAACCTAGGGTTTCCCATTTGATGCACAACAATGAACCAATAACATAACAACATGCGCTGATATTACCTTGGTTTGCTAGCTTTTTCACGCCTTGGGATCCTATGGTTGTATAATACAAATATTAAAAATTACATGAAACTCTAAGTAATGACGATTCTTAGGTTGAAAAATCTGACTAATATATACCGAATCGATGCGAAAAAAACTAAAAGGAGAGCGAGGATACCTTGCTCTCGAAGATCTACGGATCAAATCAAAGTTTTCAAGATCCAATATGCCGATTCGTGAGGTAGGGCGAAGTGGGGAGAGAAAAAACCAAGACGGAGGAGAAAGAAGAGGAAGAAGGCCCGGGCGGGAAGGTTGGGGGTCAGGTTAAAACACCATCTCGGCGCCAAGATCTACGGCACCAAGCTCGGCGTCAAGATCGGCGTCAAGGCGCCAGGATCTACGGCGTCGAGCTGCCTGTCAAGTCACCACCACGTCTGCGTCGAGCCCAAGACCTCGGCGCCAGCAACGATGGCGCCGAGAAGTGTAAGCTCGGTGCCAACAATAATGACGCCGAGCTAAAGGTCTAGATTTTGAAATCATACTTCCAAGAACATATTTGTAAAATTTTTTCAAACAAAAGTCTAAAAATAAAAAAAAAAAGTTGGGCGGTTGGAGGACTGCCTTTGCCCCCAGGTCGCCGCTCTGCTAGCTGCACGGGAAATGGGTGAGGGCGCTCAGCCCCAGCTCTGCTTACTGCTTTCAATGGTACCGCCGCCGCTCATTCGCGCGCTGCGCGTGGCGGCAAGCGGCTCTCGTGTCCGAATGCGCTGGACTCACCTGGGAATAGGCATGAATTGCACAGATCCGTTTTTGTGCAATGTCTGCTCATGAGTCGTGACAGTCATACGAGACGATGCCTGTTTCAGCAGCGATGCTATGTACTCCTATTAAAAGAGATTTTTTGACAATCTGAATCAGACAGAGGCCCGTACGTAGTTCGTGTGTTGCTGTTGTATCATGAACGCAAAGATCTGTAGGCGTACAAGTCTGGAAGGGAGGAAAAAGTGAGGTGTATTGCAATCCATGCCGTCGCGAGGTCACACTCACACTGTCGCACGCACCGGCCACCCTGATCACCCTCTGTCATCGCATTGCCTCTTCCTGTCTTCCACGTTCAGCGGGCTAGATTGCGATACTACACGGTGGATACGCCTGATACTCTCCCCGAGTATCAATCTTGCTTTCATTCAACCAAGCGTCTCTGCGTCTGCAAGGCCTGGGATTTTCTGAACAACGATCAAGGACAACCTGCATAATCGACAAAGGATTTGGATTTGGATTTGATTTTCTTCCCTCAGCTCGATACGCATGGCTTCGCTGTGTTCGAGACTTTGGAGTAGAAATAGATCCATTCCTTTCTCTCACATTCCCAATTCCCCAGTCTAGTAAACCTGCCACGCAGTCCATGCTGGCATTTGCGAGTGTGTAACTGCCACGTTGTGAGTAGTGACAAACCACACGGTCCACTCGCAAAGTGTAAGACAGCCACATCCAAACATCCTTGGAGGAAATGGGAAAACGCAACGAACCAAACAAAAGTACTTACTTCTACAGTTACGCTACAATAACCAACATACAAAGCACATTCTCGTAACCGTTTTTCTTGGCGTCTTCTTATCTCCTCGGCGTTCCAAAATGCGAACTCCGAGGATATCCATGAACTATGTGCAGATGCTGATACTCTCACTGCTGCTGCTCACGCCTACCACGCCATGCATCGAGTCAACAGGAGGTTCCAAAACATTTGGATCACCTCAACTCGACTACGTTTACACCCCGGCAATCCAGCGGTACATCACCATGAACGCCGTCTCCTCCTCCTCGTCGGACCCCGGCGCCGCCGACATGTCCGCGGCCTCCGCGTCCCACAGCCACGGCTCTTCCTGCCGCTGCTGCTGGCTCTGCTGCCCCTGGCTCCAGCGCGAGCTCCACCGCTCCGAGAACGTGTAGGCGGACGACGCCAGCCGGTCCACGTACTCCCGCAGCCACCCGCGCGAGGATCCCGCCGCCTCGGCCACCGTCCCGCCGGGAAGCTGCGGCGCCGGCGCCGGTGCCGACGCCTCCTCGGCCGAAGGCTTCTCCTCCTTGACGGTGCTGGATTCCCTCGCGGTGATGCGCGCGACGCGGGACACCACGGCTTCCACTTCCTCGTCGATTTGGTAGTCGAAGGAGCCGAGCGAGTAGGTGCGGCTGCTGTTCCTGTTCCTGTTCCTGTCCCCGCCGCCGCCTCCGCTGGGAGCCGCGGGCGAGCCGCGGCTGCTGCTGACGGTGCCGATCTCGACGAGGAAACTCGACCCGGACTGCGGGTCCCTGGTCCTCGGCGACGATGGCGGCCGCTGCGCCTGCGCGGCGGCGGCGGCGAGAATGGCGGAAAGCGAGGGGTGCGGAAGCGCGACGACGGCGGCGCGGCAGAGCGGGCAGGACGGCGTGGTGCGCAGCCAGGCGTCGACGCAGGCGGCGTGGAACGCGTGGCGGCACGCGGGCAGCAGCCGCAGCTCGGCGTCGGGCGTGAACGGCGACAGGCAGACGGCGCAGTCGGGCGAGCTCTTGGGGAGTGCCGCCAGCGCCGACGCCATCGTGAACAGCGGCAGCGAGTCGATCAGCCGCTGCTTCTCGTCGTCGCCCGCCGTCGCCTCCTTCTTCCCTGCGTCGGCTGGAGCAGCCGTGGAAGCGGCAGGCCTCGCCACGGACGCGTCCGTCGTACTCCCCACCGAGCTTGCCGCCTCGTCGCGGTGGGTCCGCGGGAGCGGAGGTCCAGACGGCGACGACGACGAGCGGTCGGAGAGGAAGCGGAGCAGGAGGTGGATGGAGACGGAGGCGAGAAACACGAAGGCGAGCAGCGCGACGATGATCATGAACGAGGGGAGGAAGGACGAGGACGCGGAGTAGGGGGAGGTGCCGCCGACTGCACCGGCGGGAGGCGGCTGTAGAGACGAGGAGGAGGAGGAGGAGGAGGACATGGCGACCGAGGCTTAGCTGCCTAGACAGGGACCATGGGTTTCACCGCGAGACCCGGGACAGGGGGTGCCGCGGCTTTTATTCGCGCGGATCTTTGGAGTGCGTGGCACGGTGCGGTGGTGCGGAAACAGAGGCCGGCGCGCGCGCGGGAGTAATAGTGGTTGCCGCCCTTGCTTGCCGGGTGTGCTCAGCTCGGTCAGTCACTCCGATGTCCGATCCCAAGCTGCCGGAATGGAGGTCAGCCGTGTAAACCAATCCACCTCTGCACTCCGCAACTGCACAACTATACACTCAGACAAGGCCCGATTGTGTAATTGCGTAAAACTGATCTCTACTCTTTCTTAACAACTACTCCTACTCCTGTATAATCCATCCCATATAACTAATGAATGTTAGCACATCCATCCATCCATGCATCGACGGAGATGGAGTGCCACAGTGACCGACGAGCATTGATTGCAGTACATGGAGCCATCAATCCGACCGAATCCATCGCAAAACAATCGATCAGATTTCAGATCGACAGCATTACGGCTGTAGGTACGTGTCGCACCGTAGATGCTGTGCTACTGTATTCCACCAAACTACAGCATTAGCGGAAGCCTAGCTATAAAAGCCGTCGGATCCGGAGACGTACCAATAGGTAGCGTAAAGCGCCACCGCGTGCTCGCGCGTATTGTCGACTTGTCATCGTACTACATGCTGTAATGCCACCAAATACAAGTATATATACTCTGTAAAACACGTCGCAGTTCATGGACCACTTGCATCCTTATGATGAGTAATGACGTGCCATCATCTGACAATTGCAAGAACATCTCTGACCTAGAGCTAGAGGGAGAGAAGGAAAACGATGGAGGTGACTCCACATCATGACAGATGCGCGTGTGGCATTTCTAGAAATGAGTCGAAGATCCATCATTAGCTCTGCATTTAGTCACTTGGATCCACCGGCGGCAGCACATGTACACAGGCCGTGCAGATGAGAGCAGTATTGATTTTTGTACTGATCAGTAATCAGTAGATTAGCAGTACTGGTAGTTGACAATTGATAGGCGTCAAAAGGAATCAAAACTGCTTTCTATGCTCTGGGATGTCAGACTGTTGGTACTATTAAGTAGCCCTGTTTGAGACTTTGTTAACCAGCTTAGTATTCCTGTTCTCGAAGCAAGCTAACCAGTTTCAGAGTTACTGATGACTGACAGTCTGCTACAACCATATGCCTCTGTTCTTAGCCCAAACTGCAAAGAAATTTGCCCCCAGTACGGAGCACAAGCTCACGAGACAAGGCGAAGGTGTCTTTCGTTAGTGCGCGAAAGATCAAGAGGCCCGTGCCTTTTAATCCAACGCAAGGAATCGCGAAAAAAAAGGATTGCTTGGCTTGCACACTTAGCATGCGCCGGGTCAGGTTTCTCTCCGATCTCATCTCCCTCGTCGTGGCTACAGGTGGATCGGAGAGCCGTATCGGGGGGAGGGGTGTAAAGGACCTGCGCTTTGGTGATGAATTCCTGCCTCATGGCGCTGCCCTTTTTGCCGCCTCAGTTATGATGAGCATGCGATGCACTTGTGCACTGTGTCCGGCCATTTCTTTTCTACTACTACGACCCTTTTCGATCGATCTTACTGGAGTCGGCTCTCATGAACCATGATGATGATGCCAGGCCCTGAAACATTCGAATGGAGTAGTAGCTCTCCAATTCTCGCGGTGGCGCCATCAAAGTTGCACTTGAACGGTCCTGTCAGAGTCTCCTTGTCGCAGAGCATTCACCTTTTGTTGCAGGTGACTTGTAAATCACATCGGGTAAAAATGGATCGACTTACTGACACGAGCAACAATCTAATAATACTACAAGACACCGCTGCGCAATGGTTTGCAGCCACCTACTAAATCTCATTAGACTGGCACAGATGTTGATTACCTGACGACGTGCCACGGACTGCTAGTGACGAGTAATCAGTTCAGGCAGCCCAATGATGCAACTTACACCAGCATAATAAGCTACCTGAAACTCCTGCTGGGAGAAATCCAACCAGACAGACGTGTCTAAACATCGGTTGCCCACGGATGACACCATGCGATCTCCGTGATGGTGCCGCAAGTGACCTAATTTCCCCGTGACATTGACATCACCCGGGAATGCTGTCGCGAGACACGGGCTTTCAGCTTTCTTGCCTGGATCTACACGGAAAACACCCTTCCAAGCTTCCATTTTGGTTGGCCCACCACGAATTCTGGCAAAGTGCGTACTCCGTGACGAGGAATCGGAAGCGGAAACGCCCAGATTTGTTAGCAACTTGTTGTTCACCAAGACGAGCGAAAAGCAGCGGCAACCTAACCTGAAACATCTGTGATCTGTCAGGCGGCGCATTCGCACGTCACACATGGAATGAAGCTGAAAGAACAGGGAACAGAGAAGAAAATTTGGGCTGCAAACGTATCTTCCTTCCATATGGGCCTTATTAAAGTGGCCTAGTTAGTTACAGTGTCCTTATCCGTAAGACAACGATTATTTCTGGGCCGTGACGGAAAAAACGTAGGCTGTTGGGCCATGGAGGACAGGAGCCTGTGTCTTATGGACGGGCTCGGGCACGTGGACGACATCCGATCCGGCCTTCCACTTCCGCCTGCAGAAAATAGCCCAGGTGAAGAGGCAGCCCACCAGCGCGGCAACGAGGCCACCGGCGGCCGCGGCCCATCCAGCCACAAAAGCGTCGCTCTTCCTCTTGGATTGCACCGCGACCGCGTGATCACCGTCCACCGCCTGAGGGATCGACGGGTTGGGGCCGGCGAGGCTGTCGGTGTTGTACGTCTGGAGCTTGAAGACCTCGAGCCCGTTCAGGATCGCGTCGTAGTACTCCGGCCTGGTGTCCACCTCCGGGTGCAGGGCGACCCAAAGGTCCGTCTGCCCGGCGCCGGGCGCCGTCACGACGAGGTAGTCGGTGTGCACCGGCCTGCCGATGCCCCCGCCCCAAGCGATCACGTCCATTTGCTCCTGTGCCGTCTGGTTGTTGATGTAGATGTAAAACACTCGTTGGTTCACCTTCGTGATCGGGTACTGGATCTCGCAGAAGTGGAACCGCAGGATGTAGTAGAACCCGGCGTCGACGGGGAGGATCCACGTGAGGTTGTAGTTGAGGTTGATCTGCGCGCTCGGGCCCATCGACCTCGCCGATGCGTACACGCTCTCCGGCGCGATGTACGGGGGCACGGACGGCGAGTACTGGATGCTGACGTTGCTGTCCTTGCCGTAGCTCACACCGAAGGCCGCGCCGAATATGTAAGACGAGTCGTCGTCCCACGAGCGGTACAGGAGCGCAGAGTCGTCGCCGGGGGACACGGCCGTGCCGCCGACGTTGAGCCGGTACATGGTCTGGAAGGCCGTGTCGGCGCGGATCGGCATCGGGTCCGGGCGCCTGCCGTTGGCGAAGGTCGGCACGGGCTTCGTGACCATGTCGCCCGGCATGGGCACGATCTCGATGCCGTTCACGAACGCGTAGTAGCCGTTGGAGGAGCCGGCGGACGAGGAGGATGGGGCGAAGGTGACGTCGAGGCTGCCGCTGACGTTCAAGGAGAACTCGCGCACGAGGTAGGCTTGGTCGAGCGCGAGCGCGGTCTGGGACGCGTTGAAGTCGCGCAGGAGCGTGACGCCGCCCGCCGTGACGCCGAAGAAGGCGTCGCCAGCACCGCGGTCGCCGTAGGCAGCCGGGTAGAAGAAGAGGCGGAGGAACACGCGCCCGGCCGGGCGCGTGGGGAAGAAGTACGTGTAGCTGGAGTTGAACACGCGCGCCGTCATGTACGGGACAGTCGACGGGAGAGACGGGTCCTCGTAGGACGCGCCGGCCGCGACGCCGGCCACGGACGGCGCGAACTTGGAGGCGGCGTCGCCGTCCCACGCCCGGCCGTCCGAGTCAGTTGCCGAGACGGACGCGCCGCAGTTTATGCGGATCTGCCCAGCGGCCGTGGAGTTGTCGCCGCCCGCCGCGACGGCAACAAGCGATATGACGAGGGTCAGCAACAAGAGGCGTGGGAGCAAAGCTGCGGAGGCCATGTGGGTCGTAGGCTGGTAGCTGTGCTGAGGATGCTGCCAAATGCGCGCGCTCAAATTTTTGAGAAGCTAGTCCTTTTGCGAAGGCCCAGATCACAGGAGCAGTGGTTTTGCATCAACCACGGCAGGAGGGTTTCTCACTTGCTCTTCATGGATTGCTCCATGGGTGGCGAGGAGACTGGATTTGGATGGGCACACGCTCAGAATCTTATGGGAGGTGCGTGCGTTCTTGCTTCGTCGGTGTGTGGTGCATCAGCGCCTCAGCGGGGAAGATAAATAAGGTAGTGGCGACCGAGACCATTATATTCCACGCGCTTTTTCTTTGCGGCGATGCCTTGTGCGGGTGAGGGTGTGCAGCACCCCGTGTCAATGTGTCAGCGGCCCTGTGCCTTTCTTTTATAATTCATCTTTTTTTTTAGGTTTTTAGACGAAACAGTGTGTTTTTTCTCACAACAAATCAGCCAAAACAATGTTTTAACTTTTTTTTTCAACGAAGCAAACAGGGCCGTCAGCTACGTATTTGAGTTAGGTTCCGGATCTAATTTAATTTGATTTAATGAAGCCGCCGAAATTTTGCGATAGTATGTGTTTACTTCAAAGTCTATAGCCGCAGTTCAGTTGAACGGAATCAGCGACCAAGTCAGACGGTGACAGAAACGAGTCGTGCTCAGGTGCTGGAGATGAACTGTAAAGCACCTCCGGAAAGGTGGCTAACCCGGCATCCAGCTATCATCGCACGAATGCACGATCATTTGAGCACAATATGGCAACTGAACATGATAGTTTAAATGGTTGAATATTTAGTCATTCTGCAGTATGCTTTAATCCATAAATACGACGTCACATACAACATGACACATATGAACATGAGCAATCCATTCATTACATATATAGATCCGCTACCGAACCAAGTTGCAGCCGATCAGCACACATCACCATATACGCTAGGGGTGAGTTTAGTTTGTACCCTTTGGTGGAACCCGAGCCGGAGGCAGGGGCAGCACCGTTAGCATCACCAGACTATGTCTGGGTCATGATGCCCTGCTCGAAGTAGTCGTTCACTCAGTGAAGCACGCAGCTGCTGGATCGAGTCAAGGACGAAGAGCAGTCGCGCGGATGCACGCATGTGTGATCCCCCAACTCTCCCTCTGAACCTGTCTATAGGAGCACTAACTAGCTTACTATTTAAATTTAGCACCTTCTTAGTGGCTTATTATTTGTTCTCTCTTTCAAGAAAACTCAATCAAGGAATAACAATTATGAAATAGTTTCTTAATTTCATTATTCCATACCATACGGGTGGTGAAGTAGAGTGAGCGGAGCCCTCGCCCGGGAGGGGATGCAACTTTATGGAAGAAATAGATGCAAAGAATTGGATAAATAATATACCACTATCTCATATTTATATTGAAGTGTACCATGTGGTACTAATCCTACTCCCACTTAACACTTATTGTAGGTCTTTGTAATTCCTTTGATTAATTACTATGGGTCATGCCCAATTAATCCAACATAAACAGGGTCTGCTTGATTTGCAACTATTATACTACTCTAGTGTGCGAAATAAAAAATTTGACGATGATCAAAATTAGAGCATGGTTAAATTTAGATAAAGCTTGAGGTCCACATTATCATTCATTTTATGGCTACGACATGTGGCACTACATGACATTTAATTATAACATAAGAAATAGCTATGAGATACATTTCCTAAAAAGTGTAATACAGTTTATCTTGGAACAGAGGGAGTGGATTTTTGGAGTTGTCCGGGCAGCCTGGGCAAGAAAATTGGTTGCTAAAATTCGGACAACCAACATTTTGTTTTTTCAACGAACAACCAACATTTTATTGGACTACCTGATTTTTTATGTTTAACCGTAACTATCTATAACTAGGCTTCGGTGTAAAGGCAGTGGCGGTGGCAATTACGAGGGTGTGATACCAAGGTGATGAATGGTGGGTGTATGGGCCATTGGCTTAGCTAGGCTGGTGAATGGTGGGTGTATGGGCTTAGCTAGGCTGGAGATGGAAGCGGGAAGTGATGTGGCAACAAAAAGATGAGACGGGGAGAGGACTGCTGACTAGCCGAAAGGTTGTGACAAGTTGGTGAGCCGAAAAGAGGAAATGTTTTGGGCCACCTTTAAATGTAGTAATTTTATCGAAATTATACATGAATTTCACATAAATCAATTAATTTCTACAGAAAAAAACATAGGAATAGATCCAAATCAGGCTTAGTGATTTTTTTGGAAATGGTTCAAACTTGGTGTAATAAAAAGAGTGAAATCTTGCCTACAAACTCTTACTTGGTATGTGGCCAATAACATAGTTTGTGGGTTAATTAATATGTAGGTGCTACTGCATTCATGATGAGATCCCAAACGGATAAGAAAGAAAAAAGCTAGAAAATTACATTCACAATAAGACAGTGAAGGTCCTCTCATAGGCGTGACATAAACAAACAAAGATCACATTTCATATGGAGTAATAAATGAACACACTACTCATCGAGATGATATCCTCCACAAGTTCACCTTGCGGCGGATCACACATCAAGGCCTATAAAAGAATCTCGGATGTATTACGTATGAGAAGAGCACATCCACCGAGGTACACCTTGAAGAGCATTCCCCACAGACCCGGGTTTTTCTCCAGAAGACTTCATCACTCTCTCCTTATTCCTTATTTGCATACTACAAGAGTAGAGTTTTGCTCCGATAGACCCGTTTCTTTCTCCAGAAGACTTCTCTCACTCTCTCCCTATTTGCATACTACAAGAGTAGAGTTTTGCCTAAGCTTCTAGAGAGCAGTTTTGTGGCAGAACCGGCTAATCTAATGCCCTCTCAAGAGTACTTGTCTTCCATTAGACACGAAGTACCCAAGAGAGTGCACTAAATCGTGATGTTTCATCGAGCACACCTAAAGGAAGAACTCGAAAATCCACAATTTTCTGTCAGGGTCATAAATGAGAGAATAAAGCTTACAACATCTTTAGCTATTTCTTACATAACTTTATTACAGTAGTAGAATATTATCTCAATTGATTATAACAGCGGAATATAATAATGTTATCAGAGCTTTCAGCGAAAATGTATATAACAACAAGTTTAAGCGCTAACATGAGGAACATTTATATACATGGAATGATAACAAATTGTAAGTCTTTTCTTTTGCAAAAACACTTTGTGAAAATTTGAATAAACTCTACGTCAGCAACGTAAGGAAATCCTCGCTGAGCCCACCAGAAGGGTTCCACACACAAAAGTCGCCTACCATCCATCGGTCACCTGCAACAGGGGAATAAAACCCTAAGTACTCGAATGTACTTAGAAAGACTTATCCGACAGGAGAAAAATAAAAGACTCCAATGATATGCGAGGCTTATTTGACTTGTTGGTTATTTATATTTGCAGGAACCATTACTAATAGTGCATCTTTATGTCCAGAGTTTTTAGCAGTTATTTTTAGTTAATTAGCTAATCATTCTAGGTAAGCACCTATGCTACTTTCAATCATGTGGTAAATAATCAGAACCATTTTATCACCTTTCATGTTCCAGTTCTTACTACGGTGCTAAACCATAGCCAAGTCGTATCGTCTCAAAAGAAATGGCGATTCGCGAATCAATGTATCACAGGCAATGTTTTCCTAAACAGTAAGCGGTCTTTACACGGTCGTCCTTCGTGGTGTTTAAATGAAGTTAAACGGTCTAAACGGTTTTGTATTTTTTTAAAAACATATAATTATATATGTGCATGTAAAAAATCAAGTATTCTAGCATTTATACATATTTATCCGAGTAAAAATCAATTATTTTAGTATGTATATATATTTATGTATGTGAAAAGAACCAAATATAAATATTTATGCATGTAACATATCAAGTATACATATATATATAGATATAATAAACTTACGTATACAAATTTATCCATACAAAACTGAACTAGATTTTTACCTCGTGTTCGCCTAAACAGTCGTTTCTATAGCTGTTTAGTCCGTTTAATACTGTTTATCTCGATTACGTTTAGGTCGTTTAGACCATTTTTTCCATTCTTTGACCGTTTAAACGGTCAACCGTTTAATTTCTGTTTACCCCTAAACAAAACAGTTTACCACCGTTTACCTTTTAGTGGTTGTTTAATCGGTCGTTTAGGCCGTTTAGGCGAACACCGATCCCAGCTGCGTATCTCGAAACACACGCCTCGCTTGTACCCCAGGCACAAACAAGATCAACTCGTTCCACTCCTGTCAAGGGGTCCAGGTCCCCATCCAAACTTAGATTCCAAGTCCCCAACACCTGAAACCCGGTCTCAATATGGTGCTTAGACCTCCACCTAATACCCACCCCTAAAAATTGGTACAGAAAGAGTCGGAACCCATGACAAGAGAACAACAAGTCTTTCTACTCCCATAAGTAAGTATGTGCCCAGGAAAATAAGTCTGTGACCTGACTACCGTCCACAGCAACGGACGGTCCTCGATCGACACAAGCGGGAAAATGCAACCGGAGCCTCGCTCGGTTGCCTAACCAAGTCCAAATCTAAATCCAAAGCACAGTCCCGTCCGGTCTCCAATTATCATCCATATATATTTCATTTGATAGTTATATGATAATAAGAACAATAATGTATTTCCTATCTCTCGCGGGTAACAGATAATCACTCGACTTCTTTGAAATCTTTTAGCATAGCAATCTACACGATCCTTACATACTAGTAGGACTCATAGGATAAGGATATATATATATATATATATATATATATATATATATATATATATATATATATATATATATATATGGCCCCATTCGGCTTACCTTATAATATGCAATATTTAGTTTGTTTTTTCAGATGTATATGTATATATATATGGCCCCATTTTACCTTATAATATGCAATATTTAGTTTGTTTTTTCAATCGAAACAATATTTTTCTCTCACAAAAATTTAGCTAGAACAGTGTTTTCGGCCAATTCAGCCAAGTTTCAGCAAGCCGAACGG